AGCTTCTACATTGGATATGCCTGCAATGTGCTAAGCTCTGAATGGTACCTGGTGCATCTCTGCCTAGAGGCAGAGCTGTTCTGCTCCCAGCATCAGGGACCTTGAATGTGTTCCCCCTTGGCAGTTAATGTGCACTTTGGTTGTCACATTGTCAGTTAAGACCAGGATGTCCCTATCTATTACAGTGTCCTGTAATTGCCTTAGGGCCAAATTGACTGCCCTAAGTTCTCACCAATTAATGTTGTGGCTTAAATCTGCTTGGGATCATTGTCCCTGGACCATCCTGGATTGGAGAAGAGCTCCCCAGCCATAAAGGCTGGCATCCATGGTCAGCACCAGCCGGTCAGGGTCCTTGAATAAGAGCTTGAAGGAAAGGGCCTCAGATAACCACCATCTAAAGGATTTGATAACTTCCGGGGTTAACCTGACCTTAGAAAGCGTAGCCAGGGGTACCCTGTTCTTAGATTTTACTTGCCCAATCAACTCCCTGATACTCTCCTGGCGCTCCTGGGACAAGGACACCCTGCATGAAATCTACTATGGCTCCCAGATGGAGCAATATTGGTGCGAGTGAAGTGGCTCTTGGCCTCGTTGACAGAAAAGCCATGCTCCTGGAACATCTGGATGGTGATTTCCAAATTCTCTGCTGCTTGAGATGGAGAGGATGACTGGACCAGTATATCACCCAGATAGCACTGGACTCTGACTGGAATGGCTCTAAGGTGGGCTGCCAGTGCTGCCAATAGCTTCGTAAATGTTCTGGGAGCAGATGTTTGGCTCTCTTGTCCTCTGCCTTCAACGAGTCCTCGGGCTCCCCGGGAATGTCAGAGTTGGATTGCAGAGCCGCTACTGGGGTGTCCGCAGTGGTCACTTCCAGGGCTTTGGAAAGATTGAACAGCCTCCTGTCCAGGGAAGACGGGCTTGGACCCGACCCAAGAGAAGACCACTGCCTTTGGATGAATGTTGTGAACATCTTTGGCACAGGGATGACATCTGCCATTATGGTCTTTTCTGAGAACAATGGATCATTGGGGTCTTTGGAAGGATCTGTTGACTGGTGGTTCAGGAGCCATGCCTTGCCCTGTGGCATTCTTTGCCTTAAAGAGGAGCAACTTGAATATGGCAGGTTGAAACAGCCCTGAAATTGCGGGCTGGTCAGAATCAAGGCCTTCATCATCAGAAAAATTTCTATCCATCTGCTGTCCCGTGTCAGTTGGATTAAAATGAACATTCCCAGCAGGAGCATAAGTAGACCCTGAATAAATGGAGAGATCCTCATAATGGGACCTTTGTCCTGCTGTTCTGAGGGGGAAAAGGAAGCTTCAGAAGGTGGTCGCCTGGTTTGTTTTAAGGCTGCTGACACACCCTGCTTTACTGCCTCAGCTAACAGAGCCTGCATGTTTAATTGAAATTCAGGCTCTTGTCCCACTGCTGGACAAAATCCCACTAACGTGGGAGTAAACATAGCCTCAGGGGCCACTCTGGATTTCTGGGCCGTTGCTGGTAACTGTTCTTTTGCTGGGCAGACAGAAATTTCTTATTTCAGAGCCTTCAAAGGGATCTTGCATTAAATCCTGCTCTTCAGCTCCCCCAGTGTCCACTTCTGGTAATATTCTCTTGTCAGATTGAAGAGGCCTGGCTTAACAGTTGCTCCTCATATTGGCGGGAAACTGACATGGAGCTGGTAGATGCCATTTCTGAGCTCTTTTGGGCCACTTCTTGTCCCTTAGCCCATAATCTGTTTAATGCCTTATCTCTAGGGCGCTCATCCTGCTCAGCTGCCTTGGAATTCTTTCGAGCCCCTGCAGCTCTATCCCTTGGCTTGGGGCTTTCCGAAGAGGTTGACAGATTCGGGGCTGCAGGGCTGAGAGAGCGTGATGGCCTGCGAGCCATCTCCTCTGCTCTCCTAGTCATGCGTTTTGGGTAGAATCCACCATTTTTAACTGTCCCTACTTTCCAAACTTCTCTATGAGCTACTGCCCTGTGGCAACTCTCAAACCATCAAAGGGTGTGAGGCAACTCTCAAACCACCAAAAGTGGAGAAGATCCAAAGCTTCTAAGGCGGCCGTGAAATACCTTTAGAATTGATGCAGATCGGCCCTCAGCTGATCCGTTGCCGGATGGTCTGGGCCAAAGCCCCAACCGATTGTTTGCTTTTGACAGCCGCCTAAGTAGACCAGTCTGGCTGCCAAGGAAATAGCATTCAGGATTGGTTTTGTTTTTTTTAAAACCTAATTTAGACTTAATTCTCAGTAAATTTGAAACATTTTAGGAGCAATCCAATACACATCGTCCAGCTAGCTGACTGAGTCAATTTCTGGAGCACCCTTAGAAACAGGGGAGTGTCCTCAAAGAGCTGACAGACTCAGTCCAATCAGCAAGCAGTGACTGATAACCCAATCCTGGGTTAGGGATGGGATTCTACCGGTTCTGTCCAGCTCTGTAGAACCGGTAGCTCTGAAGAGCAGCAGACATAGAACCGCTTCTATGTCTGCTGATGTTTTGGCCCACCTGCCCGCCCGGGCTCTTACCTGACCTTTATTTCCTGCTTTTTCAAACACAGCTGCCGTGCGAGGCACAGGTGCGGTTGAAAAAGCAGGAAAAAGGTGCTTTTTCAAACACTGCTTCTCTGCACGCAGCGCTGCTCAGCTGTCCAGGCAGCAAGCTGATGACGATTTACAGGCACGCGCACAGCGTGCAGGGAAGCACATCGTAAATCACTGAACCTCGTAAATCACCAAACCGGTAGTTAACCCTGTCAGATCCCACCCGTCCTGGATGCTATCTCCACCACCATGGAGAATATTCTAATTACATTTCACAGCAGCTTGCACTAGCATGAGCTCTTATAAACAGTTAAGAGGTCTTCATCGGTGAAAAAGTCTCTTGCTTATTCACCAAACTTACAAAAAATAAAATTGTGGGAAGTATTCAAAGAAGCAGTTTGAATATGGAAGAAAACATTCCATTATGGATACAGATTTTAAAAAGTTCCCTAGTGTTAAATGAAAATGAACAATTGCATTCCCTACCCGACTCTGAAAATGCTGTGTACTGGGGTGGGGGGAGGAAGCCTCTTCTCAGTTAAAATAACTTATATAAGTGAAAATCACAATTGAAAAGGCATATTGATAGGGTAAAAGTATCCATCCTTAAAAGCGTAGATTGGTGTAATTGCAAGCTGCATACATTTTAGCAAGAATTGTATGCAGTCACTGCTGAGGATCATATACTTTATTACATCATTCCATAAAGGGAATGCTTATGTTATGAGGTTGTTAAAAATTTGGGAGTCAGTTAAAAGCATCCATAGTAATAAGAAGAATCAGAGGTTTGTTCCTGACATCCTATTTCTGAACTGCAGCAGAAAGACCAAAGATCCAGTTGAGCAGATTTTTTTCTTTCCTCACTTTTCTGAAAATGTGACAGTCCCACTTTTCATGGGTGATTTCATAAGGTGAATAACTAACACAAGACTTTTTAAGTTTCACAAGATTGACGTTCAAGGAAACCATGGGCTGAATGAAGACAAATTCAGATTAGAGAATGATGGTTCTGATTAGATAAGGTAGCACTAGCCATAATGAGTATCGGTGTGGAGAAAAATGCAGGTTATAAATCAAGTAAATATATTTCAGCTTTGTAAAGTGATTAGGACTACCTTGCAGCCTATCCTTAAGCTCTATCTCTAAATCATACATAAGAAACTTGTGTTGCTTGAGTGAGAAAGCAGTACTTTTAAATAGCTATATCTCATATTATCTTCACAGGAAGGCCCGTTTCTAAGATAAAAATTCTATCAAAGAGGAACATGAAAGGAAATTTTTGCAACTTTAGGACTTTTAAACAGATTGGAAAGCCCCTTGTTCGGAATCAGTTTGATTGCTGTTAACAATCTATTTCACACCTATTCACTACACTTCACTAAATAAATTTCTAGGTGATTATTAAAATCAACACTCCCTCCTGGTTTTAGTACTACTAGGGTTCCTTGAAAGTCTAGTATAACTTGAGTCTCACAGATATTGTCCAATTTTAACTATATATGATATTTATCTACATGCATTAGCAGGATAAGCATTATTCCTTCCAATAGAAGAGATTATTTGTAGTTCAGGGTTGAATTGTGGAGTAATTGGTGCTCTCTGAACTTGGTTGATTACAGACATTTAATTATGCAAGTAGATGACATTAAAACAGTGGCCCCCAATTTTTTGGGCACCAGGAAATGGTTCCATGGAGGTTTTTCTGCAGAGTGGAGGGGGGCATGGTTTTGTATGCTCCTGCATCCTACAGATGGGCCTTGCTTGATTACATGGCCCGGTTTCTGGCATGCTGCGGCCTGGCACAGGTCCATGGACCAAAGGTTGGGGATCCATGCATTAAAGGATTCAAACTGATGATGTTACCTAGTTGGGTAAGGAAAGGTTTGCAAGCAAACAACAAGCTTAGTAGAGAGTACCAAAAACTCCATTACTATTTCATTTTGTTTTTGAACAGATACATAACTGCCCATTTGCAGATACACCAAAAGGTTTCATTCTCCAGCCTGTATGGATGTCAATCATTGCTGGGCTGTTCACTCATTAACTAAACATATGTTGGTATTGTATTTCATACTGCAATTCTTTTGCCAGATTGGTTATATAATAGCAGATGAAAAACTTCTTATTAGTTTATTGATCTGCAATCATAATTGTAATCTAATTCTCAGTTTTATTATAAACAGTTTTCAGCAGAATGCAAGTACTTACATTTAACTATTGCAAAGTTATTTATAGATCACCATATTCAAAACAATGTGCACCAAATTATTTCACACGAATTAAAAAATAATTAACAATAATATTTTCCAGAATCACGAACTTCATTACAAATGCATTTCATTTCCTAACAGTATGAATTAATGGCATTCATATTCATGTGCAAATGTATAGGGTTTTTTTTAACTCCCCCCCGCCCCAGTTAGAAAAGAAAGAGGCAGAAAAAATAGAGAATGCTACATGTGAACATTTTTAGAATAATCAAACCAACAATCTGATTAAAGTACAAAGGATAGCTACTGCTTGAATGCAAATTACTCAAATGCAAATAAAACCCAACCATAAAATTCAATCTATGCATACGACAATTCTATCAAAAGAGTCTCAGAAGGATTTCTTTTAAAATCATATTGGAATATTATTGTGCTTTTTTAAAACAGATATTTCAGTAAAATATTCATTAGATCTAGCGGATCTGAGTGCAAAATGTGGAATGACCACTGGATGGCAGAAAACAAATGCAAATAACAACTCATTAATGCCATCTAGCGATGTCAACTTTTAGCAGCCCAGACCAGGTAGCCCAAATATAAATTGCTATCAATGTATTCCCACGCATGAAGCTTAGCTTCAATATTTGTAAAAAAATGTTTTTCAAGAAAAGAAATGTTTGGAAATATCTATCAATCCCTACTGCTGGAATTAAAGCACTTTAATATTTTTTAACAGGATCAATACAGCTCTCTTCTTGGGTACAAGGTAATCAGGGATAAAAAGTGACAATTTTATAAATCATGTCAAATAGTTAAAAATTCCAATATTGTATCCCTGGATTGAATTATTTAATGCACAATCTCTTTAAGGGTTTTTCTCTGTCAAAGAGAGTAATGGAGTAAGATTATTAGATGCCCAACTATCAGATAGATGTATCTCTTCAAGTGGAGTTACCACATATGCCATGCTGTATAAATATATACACAGTATGAAAATGGTTTATAATTTACAAAGGATATGGATTAAGAATAAGTTAAATAAAAAGTGGTTTCCATAGGGTTTTTTTTAATAAACATCTCAAAAAAGATTAATTTTTAATACTCCTTTTACAAGCACATGTAATAATATTTTGATATGGTACACACAACCTATTTATATAACAAAATGGTGTGGTTTTGCTTCTTTCTGCTTTATCTGATTTGGCTTGGTTTAAAGAGGTAGGGTACAACTAGGAAACTTGATGAGAAAGACTATTTTCTCCCCCCATACTTCTGATTTTAATCAATGAAAAGTGCAATGTGTTGGCCCAGTTTTGTCTCCAGGCAGCCTTATAAATCGAAGCACCTCTAGCTGCTTGATGCTCTGATCCCCTTGAAAAGTTCATTCAGAAAATGAAGAGGTGCTTGCAGGTTAAAAGTGAAAAATGTTTTTGTGACACTGAGATTTTAAATGTTCTTCTCCATTCTCATAGAAAGCTGCTGCAATTATGGATATGAAACAGATCCTGGGAGAGAATGCACAGAACTGGTACTTGAAGCTTGAGGCGAGCAGGTTGCCAGGTGCTGTCCACCTGGGCCAGCTTCTTCTTCATTAGTCTCTTCCTTCTGTAGAGTATTTTGGGATGGGCATTCAAAATGTACACAATGAAATACCTGAAAGAACAAAAGAGAAACTTAAATTACTAGGTTGACTCAGCCTTCCATCCTTCCGAGATGGGTAAATTGAGGACTCAAATTGTTGTGGGCAATATGCTGACTCTGTAAATTGTTTAGAGAGGGCTGTAAAGCGGTATATAAGTCTAAGTGCTATTTCTATAATTCACAAAAGCCGAAGTGTTTTATTAAAGGTGGTCCTTGTTTAATGACCATGCATTTAGCGACTGTTCAAACAACTGTGCCGAACAAGTGGAAGTTATAACTTATTCTCTAAGTTCTGGCTGTGCAGCATTTTTGTGTTCACATGATTACAATCTGGGCATTCAGTGCTGGCTCACAATTACAACATCACAGCAATCTGTGCTCATGAGATCACAATTTCTGATGTTTTGTCATGGCAATGTCCTTTGCTATAATGATACCAAGAAAACATACAAAGTTGACTGAATTTCACAATTTACTCACTTGATCATAAACAACTGGTACTTATTTTTTTCCATCAAATTTTTTCAGATGTATCTACTTACAATACATTTCTGATTGCTGATGCATTTGCATTGTCTTTAATTTTCATTGCCCTAATAAAATTATAGATTTGTAAGTTTTAAATTGTTTTAATTTGCTGTATTTTTTGCTGTCTCAATTATTTATTTAATTTTGATAGAAAAATTAAATAATTGTGACAAACATAAATTGCACTTTAATTCATAGTCCAAACTGAATTTCTAAGTATGAATAAATATTGGGCTGAAAAACCATAATTCTTATATTTGATAGCTGTCATTTTATAGCCTATTTATAAAGCTGGCAACAACTCTGGGAAAACTCAACATGGTATCAATGTTTTCTCTAATAAAGACTTATATATGACAGGTATGAATGTAACGTGCTATAATAAAAGAATCCAAAACTGCAAAATTATTTGTTCCTCAGTGCGGAAGACTCCAACCATGTACAGTTACAGTGTCAATTGTTGAATTCAAACAGATTTATGAAGCAGAGAATGATAATTTAGTGATTCCTAATATTCTCAGTAAGGTATCTTTGTTACTGCTGTCTTTAAATGTGGAAAAGGTTCTCTGAAAGAATAATTGTTCAAAAGAGTAAAACGTATTATATGAATAAGTATATTTTTTTTAAAGTGAACTCTTTTAAAGGTTTAATTTGCAGTTGATATAATCACCACCAGCGTATGGTGATAATTGACACATAATTGTATTCCATGATATAATAATCTTTATTCCCATCTGTAGAGTAAAGTAGCAATTTCTACACTATGTCACTGAGAGCAGTATCTGCTCTGGTCAAAAGTAGTAGAATTTTGAATGAAAACAAAAACAAAATTTGAATTATTAGAATCAAGTGCAAATATGCTTTAATAAGCAACATCAAACGTATGCAACTCCCCCCCTTCAACTTAGAACACTGTATGGAAAGACATTTAACCAACTTTAATTATTTGAAATAGCATGATAGAAACCTGCCCCTTTTTACCTTTGTGCCTACTCTGAAATAAAACGGGTGGCATTTTGCACATCTGAGCTCTGTGAATTCAGTAGTTGGTTGGGGCTTCAGATTTACTGTTTCAGCTTGATCTCATCTGTAAGACTTTAAGGATTTAAATAGATATGTGAAGCACACCTATTGCTTTTAGTTCTCTGAAAAATGAGAATTCCAGTAATTCTCTGATCATGTCACTTGAACAAAAGCTTTGAAAATTATCTCTCAGACTCCTTGTTGGCAAAGATATATCTTGTAAGAGATAATTTGTCAAAGACTTAAAATATAGTTTTGATTGCTATTTGTTCTATATATATATTGGAAAGGACAACTGGATAATATGTGCCACTAGAGTGAGATTATAAAGGCTTAAAGAACCTTAGTGCCACTAGTGATATTAATCAAACTTGAAATTTGGTTAATACCACTTGAATATGAATTATAAAAAGTGGTTAAAATAATTCTAGTTGAGTAAAATTGCCACTCAAGGGGGGAAATATGTAATACACTTTTATGATTAACAGTTATAACAATTCTGTCTGTTTGGACACTTGCTTTAAATTGATGAGGAAGATGCTGAATAATTTAGAAAAGGTTTTTTTTTCCTTTTAAACCAACACAGAAACAGATTAGCAAATAATATCCTATATCTTAACATCTTTCTGCTTATGATTTAAAATACAAGTAAATCTCTTGTAAGGCACCAGAAGGAATCATTCAAATGACCCTACTTTGTAATCTTCTTCTGTAAATTGTTTTTTTAAACATTCCTGTCTGATCGAATAATTAATGCTAATTAATTTTACAGAAGAACACTGGAAATGAATAAATATTATCCAAGCAGTTAAAAAAACAATAAATACCTTGACCATACCTGCCACTTTATTTCTATCTGTGGATTGTAGAAATATGATCTCCAGCCTTCGTTTAATAGTAATTAAATTAAACCTTTAGACATGATGTTTGGTTGTTCAAAAAGATGTGGAGGCTCAGTAATTGAAGATACGTCTTTAAAGTCCAATAGCAATGGGCTGTTCCATTACTCAGGAATGTGTGTCATCATATATCTAACTTGGGGTTGTTTACATTTGATATTGTTTTGGCGTGGAGAGCTGCCTGAATATGTTATTCTCCTTATTCCATCTCTGCCTGGATCCTCATGTTCATTAGAGAAACAGCACAAGGAAAAATGTTCCTATTACAGGATGCTCTTGTAACTAAATTTTAACTTGGGAGGGGATGCATATTGTTACTGATTATGTAAATGCTGATATCTTCTTACTGATAAAGTAATATAAACATAAAAGAAAAGAAAAAGGAAAAATTCCTACTGTCAAATCCTCAGAGATTTTTCGTTCATTTATTTATTATTTTGTTCAGCTGTTACATTGCCATGTACTTCCAGAGTTCTATCTGTATTTACATTACAGTGCTTCCTTCAATTACCTGAGTGATTTCTCATTTCCAAATGTGGGGATCTGTTGCTTTGAAGACACTTTACAAAACACAATTTTCATTTTTTTTAACAACAGCTGCTGCCATTTTTCCATTTATCACAACCTGGGAACTGAATTTCAGTAAATTGATCAATTATCTCAAACAGAGTGCTCTTCACAGGAAAAGTTGCACAATCAATAGTTAAATTCGAAGGTCTAAAAGCTGCTTCAGCACAATTTTAGTAGTTAATATATTAGCAATTCCTTTCCAAAATGATCCTGCCCTAGGCAGGTAATAATAACTTCTCACATAACTAAATGTAATAAAATTATCACAACAAAATATATTCTAATAAACACAAAGACAACACTAATCACATAAAATAATCAGTTGAAGATATCTATTTCAAACCGATACACTGAAAACCAGCACCCCCAGGAAACAATTTTCTCAGAGGAAATATCAACCCATAAGCTGTATATCTGGTATCAGCAAGCATATTGGAAAATAACACCCATATTAATGCTGAACTAGGTTTATTATCTGTAGTCTTCCAGGAATTTTAGCCCTGAAGTATTTATGGCTTGAAAGGTCACATTCAGTGCCATTTACTTCTCTAATCAATTTAAAAGCCATCTTATTTACTCCTGCAACTTTAAGTAACAAAAAAGTAGTTCTTCAGTTACAGATAGCAATTGAGACCGTGACTGCCATCAATAGGCAATGTGGCCCAAAAGCATGTTGTGATATGATCACATTACTTAGCAACAGCAGTCCAGGCAGTTCTAGTTGTTGCAGTGACCCCAAACATCATGGGATGACAAGTGGGAAGTGGAGGGACTCCCTGATAAGCAGCAACAGGGGAAAATTAGGCTGAATGCAAGTTGGGGCTGAGGGCTGTTGTGCTGCAGTGCAAACACTGCAAGCTTCAGAAGGCTGGAGAAGGAAGGTATGCTGGGCATGCAAGCAGAGGAATAGCACTAGCAATATCACTTAGATTTATATACCACTTTGTAGTGCTTTATAGTCATCTCTAAGTGGTTTACAGAGCTAACATATTACCCCCAACAATCTGGGGCCTCATTTTACTGACCTCGGAAGAATGGAAGGCTGAGTCAACTTTGAGCAGTTAGGATTGAACTGCTGGCAGACGGCAGAATTAGTCTGCAGTACTGCATTCTGGCCACTGTGCCACCAGTAGGCTCTAAGAAGGCCCAAACAGGAAGGCACTGATGAGTGCATATGTGTGTTAGCATAGGGAGCCCCAGGACAGGATGGTACCGCTGGCTGTGTACAAATGCGCAAGTGCACAGAGGCAAAGAAGGGAGGACATGGAGGCACAGGAAGGAGGGTCTTGGAGGGTATGACTGAGCAAAAGGGGAAAGTGGGCACTGGTGGGTGGGTGTGTATGTGTGGGTGCAGGGAGGCCACAGAAGGAGGACACTTATGGTTCATGGTTGTGTGTGCAAGTACTGGGAGGCCCAGGAATGAGGATATTGATAGGCATGAGCGAGCAAAGGCGGGAATAAGGACATGGTGCCTTGCATATGAGCAAGTAAAGGAGAAAGGAAGGCAAAGTTGAACGTTCACAGAGTTTGTAACCTGTTTGGTAACTTGGTAACTTGAGCTTCTAACTATCTGCAAACAGGAGATAAACGGAGGGAAAGTTACAAGAGCGGTAACAGCCCAGGTTCAAGTGCCAGAGAATTGCATCAAGTGGTCCAAATGTCAACCCAAGATCAGAATCAGAGCAAGGAGGAAGAGCACAAGAACACAATTTCAAAGTTAGAGAGTTGTTGCCAATGGAGGCAAGAGCTTGGAGGCTATTCTTGATCAGGAGCACTGCTGCCCTCTCATGTCAAGGAGAAACATTTTTAAATCTTCCATTTTACTTATATTATTCAGTCTCGTGCCAATTTCAAAGGTATCCTTAAGCGACAGCAAGGAAAGATATTTAGTTGACAGCAACATATTCCAAACCTCAGACAATAGGAGCACATTCTTAATCTAGTTCATCAGTCAAGGTCTATCATCCAAGATAATAAAACTGTTTCAGTCCC